TATTCTGTGAATTGGGTTGGAGGACTGGGTTTTTATCTGGTCATTGATTTCTAACTGAATGGCAACCGATAGTAGTCGTCGGCATGTGTAAATTAGAATTAGGTGAATGTTTACACTCGCAGTTACGTGGTTTTTGTGCGTTGATAGTTGATGAATTGTGTTTTACATAATGCCAAGTAAGTTATTAAATTTGTGTCCCATGCGGGGCTTTGTTGGTGTCAGAGAGATGCGGACGAGCATACACACATTGTAGTTTGTAACAGCAGCAGCAAGGATTTAACGACCACGTCTCTACTACCACAACGGGGGATGAGAGAGAAGCGTCGTTCTCCATGGGGTAGGAACACCTACAGGCTTGTGTTTGCTGTTGCAAGCGCGACGGCAGCATGTGCAGGACTTTGCGTAGTCCTGCAACACCCGGAACAGGTTGCCCAACTATCGACATCATTGCGGCGTTGCCTTTGGAGTAATTGATTTAGTGTACTTTGATCAAGTGGGTTCTGCGGAGAGAATATGTACATGCTTCGAGGGAATATTTGTACTTACAGCCCATTTCAAATAGCCAGTTCTGGGAGTCTTTAGGACCCTTTGGACCTAGAAGGTACGGATGCCCCTTTGTAAATAGTGGTTGGGTTCAGATTGGTCGGTGTGGTCGTGATAATTTTTTAGTGTGGGCGTTTGGTTGTTTAGAGTCTGTTTGTTACACTTGGGTTAGGTATTAGGTTGAATTACTGGTTCGAATGATTGGGTGGTTGAGTTGAGGTATGTGCAACCTTGTTGCATCAATCATATTCTTATTCTTATTATTATTATTTTAACTCTTTCTTTTATTTTCTTTTTTAAAATTTTAAAATTCTGTGTTTTGATATATTTGATGAATTTGCAATGATTAATTGATTATTCTCTTATTTTGGACATTTAAAAAATTATATTTTATATTTGTAATTTTTTTATAATATTATTTATTAAAGTTTAGCTTTATAATATAACATTTGAATAAGTGCAATCATAAACTAAATTAAGTACCAAAATATTAGATGCATGTAGAATAAATATTTTACATAAAAATTTAATAAAAATAGACATTAATAAAGCCAAATAGAAAAAAAAAAAAAAATCAATGAAATATATTTTATATAATTTATAATTCAATTAGAATATAAATACTCAATATTTTTTTTAATTGAAAAAACTAAGTGGAAAATAAAAAAACACAAAGATAATAAACAAAAATCCTAATTGGTCTTTTATAAATATTTTTTCATGGATTCACTTATAAATTGATTTATTAGAAAGTACTAATATAAGTGCATTATGATGAAAAATGATATTTATGTCAATATGATGAATTATTTGCTAAAAAAGACTATAAAACATTTATTGCATATAGAATAATACAATATATATTGAAGGATCATAGAAGAATATAAAACAGGCCAAATATGCTCTTGAATTCACTTTAATATTATTAATAATATAATAAAAAGAAAATCTTTCAACACTATAAAATTCTTATTTATCTACTTTTTTGCCTATGTGTGTAATGTTAGAAGTGAATAAATGTTAATTAAACATAGTTTGGTACAATTGGTTGTTGATACAAATGCTTTAACAATGACACCAACTACATCTATCCTATATCAATGTTGTAGAAAAACTATAAAAAAAATATAAGTATACAACATATTTTAGAATGGCTAAATTTGTAGTAAATCTAAGTTCAAACATTTGTTGGTAGAAAGTACAATAAATTTGTAGCATTATTTAGCAAACTTCACTATCATTTAATTACAAAATAATTCTTATTAGAAACAATGCGTACTATCTAATTCTTGTATGAAGTCCTTCTAATGCTCATTTACAGTCTTAATATTTTCTGTAATATAGAAAGCAATGGAAAGTTAAATAATTTTTTATAAAATCCTTCATTAAGTATCTATTATATAAAACACATTATGGAGGGATATAAATCAACAAGATAAATCATGGAGACAAATTAGCCTTTTAATTGGCTATCCTAATAAGCATATCTTGAATAAGCCTTATATACAATGCATTAGAATAGTTCTTGCTTGAAGGGGGTTGTTTAGTAGAGTATGCAATGATTAGGCTTTAGTCTACTATCTCTTTTGGTAATTACATTATTTATGATATATTTACTTTTTATGGTATCTCTCTTATTGCAACTCTAGTCTTACTTCCACTTGCAATTTGAGCTCTCCATAGCTTCTTGACTTACACTTTGTTGATTTTGAGGCTAGCATTGATTTCCAGCTAACAACCATCTCTATGTGAATCTCTATATAAAATACATGATTGGATAACTTAGCACAATTTTTGCTTTCTCATAATTAAACTTTAGAAGTAGTTCATTGTACAAAATTAATTAATTTTTTTGTATATTTTATATGAGAACAATAGGAATTCAATTACTTAAATTTAACTTAGATTTTGTTAAATGAATACAAAAAAACAACATAATACTAAAAAATATTATTTTACATAATCTATTGATTAAACCTATCATTAGAAGAAGTATGAACTACTTACAATATGTTATCTATGCAATTATTTTATTGAAATGATTACAAAGAATAAAACAGCTATATACAAATTTCTTTGTAATTATTTGAAACACATTCAAGAATTTAAGATTAATATTAATTACTTCTTAAACTTTATATTATCTTAAATAATTCAATAATATAAAAATAATCACAAAATGGAACAAATATACCAATACTCAAGCTTAATAAAAGTTACAATTTTAAAGTATATACTCTTCATTCTTCATTTCAATATAGATTGATATGTAATTTCAATATATAATTATGAAATATAAAATTATATAGTTTTTTAAAAAATAAAATAAAGCTAAAAAATATTTCTTTAAGATATATTATTATCAAAGAATTTTTGAGCTAATTTTAAAATAAAATATCTTATCAAAACACAATACAATAAGTGATAAAAGTATATATATATATATATATATATATATATATGACATTATAAACTATTGAAGATTGACAATAAAACAAACTCAAGTGAGTGAATGTCTTATATACTTACTTATAAGAAGAGCTATCTATAAAAAACACCCTATATGTAAAACAAGAGCTCCACAAGTCTTATTCAACTGCCATCCCATTTCTATGGTGAATCTTAATTCTCACAAGAAAAACCAAACTCATACAATAGAAACGGTTGTCATACAATTGCAACCCAAATTGTAAGTGATGAACAATAAGAAGGTTAAAACAAAAAAAAAAAACCTCTCATTTGCTTCAATTTAACACAACCAGATTATGGTGATGAAGCAAGTTGGTAAAGCATGAATTTCGACAAACCGTCATGCATTTCAAGTGGAACACAACTTGTGCACCTCTCCGCAAACAGAGAGGGACACAAGCCACTTGGATTCCAAATTATTAAACTGTGTTTAGTTGCTTGTGTCATGAGTGACAAACAAATCGAGGACATTAACACTTTGCCATATTCAAATACACATACTCTAAATACAACCCAATGGAAATATATAGCACTACAATAACAATATGAAAAGCAGTCTGTACAAGGAAGGTGATAATATCATAGGCGAATCAATGCACAATATTTAAGGTCAACCGACCATAAAAGTATATGCAAAGACCCTGCACAGTGAGAATGGAATAGGGCACCCAAAAGGAAGAAATCATACGAGAAGGATGTCGTCATGGGGCCAACAAGGGCAAGGCAGCTATCCCTGGCCATCGACGGCAAACCCTCAAGCGGGCCCGCCATAAGCCAAGTACGAACGCCAAGATTCCTCATCACACGAAATGCGACGGGATCTTCCCAACCGAGAAGTCGTCACCCCTTCCGGATTCCTGGAACCTGCCGCAGTGCCCGACAATGAATGAATGACTTAAAACGGAGATATTACGTCGTAGGATAGGGCAATGATCTTCATCCACAAAACAAAGAGCCCTACACTCCCAATTTAAACATTGCTAACAGGTGACGAGGTCGAGCGGTCGCAAGCAGTTGCAACTCCATCACCCCACAGCTACTCGAGTGTGGAAGCCCCCGGCAGCATTCACTCTCCAATCTTCAGAGTTGATTGCCCCCATCAAAAATCAACGAAAAACATTGAAAAGACCATTTCGTAAGTCAAGCGAGGCTTTATTTGTTGGTGAACGTAGCAACGACTTTGGCCAATGAGAGGAAGGCTTCTTTTATCTCTTTGTGGGATAGCGAGGCTTCGTTCTTCTCACTGTTGTGTAGATAGGGCCTCCCTGAATTGTTCTAGGCTAAGTAGCAGTGGAGCGTATTCTAAAACTCAGTAACAATGAATTCTGAAAAAAGGAACATTGTAGTTGTAAGGGCGCACCAGAGCGCATGGAATGGTTGTGCGAGGAGGGGAAGGGTTTTTCAAATGTGTTCCGTAGTTGATAATGTTGTGGCATGGAAGAGGTCCACTCTCCAGTGTTGCTGTTGCTGTTGCTGTTGTATGTATGTTCCCAGCGGAGGAAGAATGAGCTAAAACAGGAGGCGGTGATGGTGAGGAGGATCTAATGCCAGGGGACGTGGACCAAATCATACCCGGCCAGCGCAATACAATACAATACAGATAGATAGATAGATAGAGAAAATAAATAGGGCACGTGTACTCCTCAGGGTATTCGCAGTGTGGCATCCATAGAAATCAAAACAAGCATGTGAAGCACGTCCTAAGAAACAATAGGGAGTGCAAGCAACACCACTGAACAGAAGAAGCAGCAGCAGCAACATCAACGGCACGCGGGGGGGGGGGGGGATTGAATTCCCGCTCCCTGCAAGTCCACATCGCCAGGCACGCAGCCACGCTGTCCAGGAAAGGACAGGACAGATCAGATCATCCGTCCATCCATCCACCCATCCGTCCGGGGGACGAATAGACGAATGGGCGGGGGACGGGCTCAGCCGGGATGCTCGTGATGCCCCCCACAGAGGGCCTGCGGAAGTCCGGGTAGCTGTCCGGACTCCAATCCATTGGGAGAGAAATGCACAAGGGAAAAATTGGTTCTCGCTGCTGCTGGCTATGGCGATGGCGCTGCTGGGCATCATCCCGAACCTTCTCTGCCTTTGCTGCTAGCACCCTTCCTCCCTCTGCTGTCCCCCTTTTCCCTCCCCATCCCTCCGTCGTCTGCCTGCTCCGCTCCGCCCCCCTCCTCTCTCTCCCCCTCCCTCCTCTTCTCCGCCTCTCTGAATAATGCGCCTCTCTTCTCCGATGCTTTTGGTGGAGATGGTGGAGATGGTGGAGATTGCGAAATATTCTCCATGTTCCCTCGATCGACCTTGGCTAGGGTTTTCTCCGTAGGCGCGCTGGGTTGAATTTGCGGTGGATTTCTGCGGAGTGCACAGTCCGGCGGAGATCCCTTTTTGAGCCTTCCTCAGTTCTGTGGCTGGATCGGTGTTGGCGTTCCTTTTTATTCGTCGGCAATCTTCTGCGTTGTGGGGACTTGGCCGATGGTTGTGCAGTCGACCGAACTTCTTCTACTTCAGTTTAGTTTATTTTATTTTTTTGACACAGTGCTGTCCGTCTTAAATCTGAGATGCAGGGGCGGTCTATTTTCTGGCTCTGGGTTTTGACAGCCTTGGTGATTTGAGCAGCGGAATATCTGAGCTGCTTTCTATGGCGCAAGGGCTCTTGTTATGTCGTTTGATGTACCGTCGATTTATGAAGGCCCAGGTGTCTAGGAAATGAGGTGCTAGGGCGTTGTTGAATTGGACGCGAAGGTGTTTCTCTGCGTTTAGGGCACCTTTTATGTAGCTTCCTGCATCGAAAGGTGGAGGAGGATTTCTTCCAGCTGCGGTCTTTTCAGTGATTTTTTCGGCGTTGAGAAGCTGGATGCGTGGAGTTGTTCTTGGCGTGAACGCAGGGAATTCTGTGCTGGACATAACCGGCAGTGCTTGCTGCCCGTGCATTTGATGGAGAACCGCATGCGAGGAGGATCGTGATGGATGGGTTAAGACTTGCATGACGTCCTTATGTTGATAGACGTATCTATGTGGGTTCCGAGACATGGGGCATTTGGATGATTCAGTGGCAGGTTGGGAATGGGACAGTGTGCTCCTTCTGGCCAACCCGTCCTTAGACACTAGTCCTTTGCAGAGCTCGCTCCAGGCGCACTCTTCTCTTGATTACATCACAGATTTTGCTGTGGGGCAGTCCTGGGCTGGGTTGGGAAGTCTTCAGACGAGCTCGCCGAAGCCCCCGGATGGAAAAGTAGCGGCTGGACCTCAATCGAGCTCTTCGGCTGAGAAAACGACGACCTCAGATTACGAATTGTTTCGAGACCCGCGCCTTGATTGCCCCAATTTTCTGGCTGGGAGGGTTCCTTGTGCCTGTACTGATGAGGACGACGACGAGGGAGGGAGCCGAAGCAAGAGGGCCAAGGTGTCTGCTCGTTGCCAGGTCCCCGCTTGCGGAGCTGATTTGGCTGGTCTCAAGGGTTACCATCAGCGGCACCGGGTGTGTCTCCAGTGTGCAAATTCGACCACAGTGATTTTGCGTGACATCCCCCACCGATATTGTCAGCAGTGCGGCAAGTAAGTACTATTTTCAGTTGGACCGAAGTTGTGTCGACCAATTTGCTGTATACCCTATCGGCTCCCATCGAAGCGCTCACTTAGTTCGTTTGGGTTGAGTACATGTGATGAACAACATTTAAATGTTTGGGTACCTTCAAACTTCTCTAGGAATGGGAGTTTGGGGCTTAACATTCAGCCAAGGGCCACAATCTTCGAAGTAAGTGCAAATGCTCTAGAGCTGAGCTTGTTAGCAGTTACTTCCAATGTGGGATGCAAAACATGATGTAACTAGTCAAAGTGATTTTCCAGGGGGTGTTTGAGTGTTGTGTTACTGGGAACACGGTAGCACGTGAAAGCGTTCTCGGTGATTCACAAAGCCGTTTTTTGGGGGCGTCAGGGTAAAACCTCGCTAGTTACCCAGGAGAGTGTAGTTTCCACATGTGATTCCTTCACTATTCGAATTTGCTGAGGTGGGAGGAGTTGGTTGCGTGTACGAAAGGCACATAGTTGTATTGTTTTTTGATGGCTCAAAGGCGTGGGCTAATGCCTGATGCACGCTTGTTAAATGCCTCTTTCTACCAGTTGGAGCTGCAGTAAGTGATCCGTATTTGTCGATGCTGCATGGTCTGTTTTGTGCTGGGACATAACACTCTGTAAAGCACGGGTTCCATTTGTTGGGTGTGCAATCACCTCTTGTGACGACATGCTATACGTCTCTCAAGCAGCGATTTCTGAAACAGGTTTCATGTGTTGAGCGACTTCGACGAGGGCAAACGGAGCTGTCGATTTAAACTAGAACGCCACAACAATAGGCGGCGGAGGAAGGTACAAGAATCTGGAGAAGACGGTGCAACTCCAGGCGGTGGAAGCGATAAAGCCAGCCTCAATAGTGGTTCGTGTTACAGCTTAGTGTGCCTCTTAATATCTTGCGCTATCGTTGTAGTTTTGGTTGCATGTGATGAATTTTGGCTTTCCACCCGTGCACATAGCGGCCAGTTGGGTCCGCATAGCTGAGCCTGACCACTCAGACTTCCCGGTGTGTTAGAATGTTGAGGAAACTGGGTGCGTAATTTTCGTCAGCTTTATTTGGAAGAAATGTTGAGGGGCTGTTTGTGTCATCAGATTTTGTTGCAATGTAGTATGGATGTGAAGTTTATTTTGGGTTTTATTTTTGAGGTTGTATTTTGGATAAAAGCACTAGTCACCTGAAAATATGTCTAGGCTGAACCTGGGAGCTTGAACGTTCCTGTGCTACAGGAGAAGTTTTTGGGTGCTTATCCTGGGAGTGCATGCGCTTTATAATGCATGGGTATGGCATTGATGGTTTGGGTGTTGTATCGTTTCCTCGAAGGTGGAGGAAGGGTGAACGGAGACGAAAATTCTGCAGTTGAAAGCAAAGCCCACGCAGAAGTAGAGCAAAGCGTAGTGGTGCAGGTTTCTAAAGAGGCTTCCTCTCCTGTTGAGCAATCTGATACAACCGACACCACACAGATCCTTTCTGCTGGGATAGTCGATGGTTCTGGATCAAGAACTGATGGTGAGGGCACTGATTTCGCTGATTTTTATTAAGACCTGAGACTGAAATCAACATTACAACATTATTTTAGCACATGTGTTCTGCACTGCACATGAGCGGTATGTCACATAGGTGTCCTTCATGCTAATGTTGTCACGATTTTGTACTCAGGCTTGCTCACTTACGTGTCTGGTTTCTTTTGTCTTCTAGTTGCCATGCTTCCGGTCTAATCCATGTGCGATCTTTGCGGGTTTTTACGCATCCTAAGATGGCTGTATGGGAATTCTGAAAATAATGCCCCCCCCGCCCTATTGATCGAGTGTCGGTGATGATTAGGGTAGTGTTGATGATCTATCAAGATTGTGGATTTTTGGAGAAAGGTTTGTTACCTGAGTTGGTTATCAATGCCTGGTTACAACTTTTCCAAACGCGCGTTCTTATCTACTGTATTGAGAACAGCTTTGATTTATCGCGTAATTACTGCAATTACTGCAGGTGCACAAGAGGCTCTTTCTGCCCCAAGGAGCAAGGAGTACACCATGCCTGGCCCCAATGTTTCTGGTATTGCAGAGTCCGCTCCACTGTGGAACTCCACAGAAACGCCTGGCGGTGTTTCCAACGGGCACAAGAGCGGAGTTGACGAAGATTCTTTACTAGCATTATTGTTGGAAGACTCTCCAAACGTAGACGAGCGGTTGCCCTCCCGTGGTTTTGAATCGACGTCTCCTATCCCGCCAAGGTCCTCCAAGAAGCCAAGCGCATATGCATCTTCGGTGGGTTGTGCTTTATCGCGGTTTAATCTGCGTCTTGTGTTACACATGCGTTTGTTTGTATAGATTTGTTTTACTGCACATACCGAAGTGCGTGACCTTTACAAGGTCCATGCAGCATCTCATGCACTTGCCAATTGGTGTCAGTCGGAGTTTAATACTAGTGTGTTTTTTCAGCACCCAACTGCCCGGATCTCCTTCAAATTATACGACTGGAATCCAGGGGACTTTCCTCGTAATTTAAGGCAACAGGTACGGAATTTTGGTATTTATTTCACGTTCTGGAAATTCCACGGAAGGTTGCCGTATTTACGTTGAAAACAGTGTAGCAGTTTGCATTTAAGCTCGAGGGGTTTGAACTGATCGCACATGCAATGGGCGTTGTGGGTAGGTTTGCCCAGGGTTATAGTTGGTGCTGTCATTTTCTGTGATAAATTGACAGCGTAGATATCGGTGCTGCAGATTTTGGAGTGGCTGTCGAATATGCCTGTGGATCTCGAAGGGTACATACGCTCCGGCTGCACCATCCTCACCCTATTCATTTCTATGCCTCAGTCCATGTGGGAGGGGGTAATGGACCTCGACCAATTTTAGCCATATCGTTATCTGTACAATTATGAGCCTTATTTTGGGTTGAATCTTGCTGTCATCATTTTGCGAACTAGAGCCTACATTCGATTTTGGGTGCTTAGTATAATTTTATTTGAGAAATTAATGTGGTGGTGATTTGTTTTGGCAGCTGAATGCAGACTGGGAAGGTGCCGTTGCGAGGCTTGTGTGCAACCCTCAGAACACATCGGGGTTCTGGGAAAAAGGGTACTTCAAGGCCAAGCTCGGCCGCCAGACAGTACACTTTGAAAATGGTAAGCTCCCCTCTTTTCAGGAGTTGGCGCTGGCCAGTTTTGGACGCAGTTTCTTCAAACTCATAAGTGCACTGGTTGTCGTTGAATTGTTTGTTGTATGTTTCATTGAGGATGGTAGAAGTTGTTGTGGGCTTGCATACAAGGACGTGTACATGTATTGTTAAAATAGGTGGTTTGCGAGATCAGGAAAAGCGGTGAATAGGAGTGGCGGAAAAGAAGACTGCATGCCGTGCATGCCTGTCCTGCAATCTGTTGAGCCTGTATGTTTTCGGGCAGGCACAGGCTGCATGCTAAGCATTACTGGCCGCAACTTGCTACAAGCAAATACAAAGTGAGTTTTCTGGTGCATGGCTGTGTGAAGTTGATACACATCGTCTTCTTTGCCGATCAGGTGTAAACCTGTTCGGATCCCGCTTGTTTTTTGGGTTGACCTTAGTAATATCAGTTAACAATAGCAAATACCATGAATAGAGGGGATCGTTTGGAGTGTTGTGCACGCCACCGTCATGTGACTTCCATCATCGTAGTTGGATCTCATGCAATTAACTTGTCTTGCAGGTTGCTGATGTCTCACGGCGGAAAGTACATTAAGGCTTGGGTGCTGAAAGCAAGTTCTGAGGGTAAGCAGGAGGATAAGTGGCAGATCGTTGTTCCGCCTGTCGACGAGTGTCAGGCTGGGCCTGTTTTCATTGAGGTACCGGTTTGGCCTAGTTGAATCCTAAATGTGTATTGGTTGATAAGTATGACGGATATAAGGTAGTGTTTATGTTATTGCCATGCGATGTGAGCTACCCACATGACGTGTGTCGCTGGCAACTACGAGCATGACGAGTGCAGTGTATACGTTCTGTTTGGTTTACGTCCGGGCAGAACATGTTGGGTTGGATTTAGATACTTTTGGCGTGGTGCTGGGCTCAAGTCTTTGAGTCGGAAGTTTGATGTTACTGGTGTTTCTTGGGAAGACCGTTCTATGGTGCTTGTCGTTGACAACAGGCGACTAGACGAATTTCATGAAGTGGAACTTGTGAATATCAGGTTGAGAACGAAGACAGACTCAGCAACATTATGGTGGTGCTAGTCGGGGATGCAGAATTTTGCAATGAGGTGGAAAGCATGGAGTTGTATACTAGCAGCTGCGAAGCTCAAGATCTGCTGTTCGACTTGGGTTGGATGCTCAAGGAGAGCACCCTTGATTCGGGTGTTTTGATTCAACGTCTCCGTTCGCTGCTCGATTATGCGAATGCGAAAGGATGGGAGCGAGTTGCTGAGCGCATTCTAGAAGCAGCTGACAGGCGGGGTGTTTTGCGTAAATTAGTCGGAGCCGCGGACGCACGCTCTTTTGACTGGAGAAACATCTGGGCCGAAAGCACCGGGCATAGTCACTCGACTTACAAGCTTTCATCATTTGCGGTTCCAGTATCGAGCCGAAGTTACTCCATGCCATCGCTGGCACAGAGCAAGGTTCGTGTGTTTTGTTATTATTGTTGGGAGTTATTCTGTGAATTGGGTTGGAGGACTGGGTTTTTATCTGGTCATTGATTTCTAACTGAATGGCAACCGATAGTAGTCGTCGGCATGTGTAAATTAGAATTAGGTGAATGTTTACACTCGCAGTTACGTGGTTTTTGTGCGTTGATAGTTGATGAATTGTGTTTTACATAATGCCAAGTAAGTTATTAAATTTGTGTCCCATGCGGGGCTTTGTTGGTGTCAGAGAGATGCGGACGAGCATACACACATTGTAGTTTGTAACAGCAGCAGCAAGGATTTAACGACCACGTCTCTACTACCACAACGGGGGATGAGAGAGAAGCGTCGTTCTCCATGGGGTAGGAACACCTACAGGCTTGTGTTTGCTGTTGCAAGCGCGACGGCAGCATGTGCAGGACTTTGCGTAGTCCTGCAACACCCGGAACAGGTTGCCCAACTATCGACATCATTGCGGCGTTGCCTTTGGAGTAATTGATTTAGTGTACTTTGATCAAGTGGGTTCTGCGGAGAGAATATGTACATGCTTCGAGGGAATATTTGTACTTACAGCCCATTTCAAATAGCCAGTTCTGGGAGTCTTTAGGACCCTTTGGACCTAGAAGGTACGGATGCCCCTTTGTAAATAGTGGTTGGGTTCAGATTGGTCGGTGTGGTCGTGATAATTTTTTAGTGTGGGCGTTTGGTTGTTTAGAGTCTGTTTGTTACACTTGGGTTAGGTATTAGGTTGAATTACTGGTTCGAATGATTGGGTGGTTGAGTTGAGGTATGTGCAACCTTGTTGCATCATTTTGGTCTGGAATTTCAAATGATGCAGTTCGCTGATCTGACCACTTGGCAGCGGTTCCTTTGAAAGTTGAGCCATGCTGCACTGTGTGCACGGGTGTGTTGATTTCGCTGCAGTGAGGATTGTACTGGACGAGAAGAGCCGTGGCTGTAAGAAATGGTCTTGAATCCTATGTAGACTGTTATTAGTACTGTCTGAAGTAGTATTCTTTTCCATCACTTTTGTTCCGGTAATGTTAGATATTTTTAGCAAGCATCCTCTGTGTCGCAATGTAGATTGAGAGTGTTAAGAATCATATACTTTCATGAATGAGAATGAAGTTACTAAATTGGTCAATGTGTTGGAATCACAGGATGTGCGAGTTTTTGAATAATATTCAATCTAAATTTTTGATAATCATAGTTGTCATGAGGCTGATTAGTCTTGATTTGATGATAGAATAACCGTACCTTATCACCATCTACTAATGGTGAAAGGTATTTTCTAAAATCTCTGACATATGCTATTTGTTGTTCTCGAGTCTTGTGTAGTGGTACTTTTGTTGTCGTATGAAGCTTTGATGCTTATTGGGATGAACTCTTTGGTGTTAGAATTTTAACTTTACAAAAGTTAGACATCAGAATGTGGATTAGAACCATGAATGGCAAAACACGGTGTATTGGATAGCGGAGAGAATTACATTATTATACGGAAATTGTAGTAACAGCAAGAGAGGTGTCAAATTGCAATGGTAATAGGTGATAGTTGATGAATACTGCGAATATTGTTCAAGGATTTGAATCTCCCGTTTTGTTTGTCAATTAGTTAAATAATCAATGAGAGACTAAAAATTACCATTGTTTTTTAGTATGATGACAGGTATACATCAAAAACTCAACAACAATACGAATCCTCAATCAAATACAATACCTCACGCCACATCGTACCTATAAAGCTTGACTAAAACCTCCAAGGCTAGTATACACGGAGGCAAGTTCAGAGCTCGTCTCAACCTACTCAACAATTTCACCAGCATTCTCATCTAAATTCAAGACCTCCTCATTAATTACAAAAGCGCATGAATACATTCTAAGTCCGAAGGGTCCTGAAGACTCCCAGAACTGGCTATTTGAAATGGGCTGTAAGTACAAATATTCCCTCGAAGCATGTACATATTCTCTCCGCAGAACCCACTTGATCAAAGTACACTAAATCAATTACTCCAAAGGCAACGCCGCAATGATGTCGATAGTTGGGCAACCTGTTCCGGGTGTTGCAGGACTACGCAAAGTCCTGCACATGCTGCCGTCGCGCTTGCAACAGCAAACACAAGCCTGTAGGTGTTCCTACCCCATGGAGAACGACGCTTCTCTCTCATCCCCCGTTGTGATAGTAGAGACGTGGTCGTTAAATCCTTGCTGCTGCTGTTACAAACTACAATGTGTGTATGCTCGTCCGCATCTCTCTGACACCAACAAAGCCCCGCATGGGACACAAATTTAATAACTTACTTGGCATTATGTAAAACACAATTCATCAACTATCAACGCACAAAAACCACGTAACTGCGAGTGTAAACATTCACCTAATTCTAATTTACACATGCCGACGACTACTATCGGTTGCCATTCAGTTAGAAATCAATGACCAGATAAAAACCCAGTCCTCCAACCCAATTCACAGAATAACTCCCAACAATAATAACAAAACACACGAACCTTGCTCTGTGCCAGCGATGGCATGGAGTAACTTCGGCTCGATACTGGAACCGCAAATGATGAAAGCTTGTAAGTCGAGTGACTATGCCCGGTGCTTTCGGCCCAGATGTTTCTCCAGTCAAAAGAGCGTGCGTCCGCGGCTCCGACTAATTTACGCAAAACACCCCGCCTGTCAGCTGCTTCTAGAATGCGCTCAGCAACTCGCTCCCATCCTTTCGCATTCGCATAATCGAGCAGCGAACGGAGACGTTGAATCAAAACACCCGAATCAAGGGTGCTCTCCTTGAGCATCCAACCCAAGTCGAACAGCAGATCTTGAGCTTCGCAGCTGCTAGTATACAACTCCATGCT